CGGGTGGGTCGTGGGCCAGGTCGCGGGGGGACGGCGACAACAACAGCGCAACGCAACCCAACCCAACGTAACGCAATTCAACGCAACGCAAATACAGCATGAACAACAACCATAACAGTTTCAGCAGCAGTAACACCATCAACAGCATCAACAACAGCACCAACAACACTAATCACAACAACAACACACCAACACCAACAACACCACCACCAACAACAACACAACATTACAAACAACAACAACCACAACATCAACAACAACACCACCAACAACAACAGCAGCAACAACAACACCAACAACAACAACAACAGCATCAACACTACGATCAACAACACCAACACCAACAACAATCATGATGTAACGCTATCCGTTCATACCTGCTGGCGTGCCATTCGTCACGTATATCCCACACCCTCGGTACCCGCCCTCTTCGTCTTCGATCGTGCCCCCCTGGGGGTATAAATTCCTTACCTGTCGCGCGTAATTCGTGCAACACCTGAAACAGGGGAACGAACGGCGGATGGGAAGGGGGAGGGAGAATGATGAACCACGGGATTTGCAGGAGGAGTGTTAGAAACAGAAACCATGTGGCAGAACCAGACGGGCCCATCGGGCAGGTTCGACCATAACGATCGGGTCGGGAAGGCGGGCCCAAGCGGCCAGGTCGAGCATGCGGGTTGTCGAAACGTGATTACTGCGTGAGTCGCGGGGAAGTCTCTATCGATAGTGCGAGTTCCAAGTAAATCGTGAGAAAGGTAAAAGCGAAAACGTGAGCGTCGAGGGCGCGGCGTCTGAATAATCTACGAGGAAGTCCCACGCGTGAGCGCGACTCCTGCATAATTTGTGAGGAAGTCCCACGCGACAGCGCGATTTGGGAATACATTGTGAGGAAATACCAGGCGGGAACCGCTTTCGTTGTAAACCGGGGGCCAACAGCTTAGTTTGATGACGCCGCGCTTTCCTTTTTTAGAGCAAGATGCGAGCCCCGGGAGAAGCTCTTTAGTTGAACATGCAGCGGCTACAGGGCAGGAGGGGTCAACCACGATTCTTTTTTAGAAGTGGCAATTCAACAACAACAGCAACAACAACAGTACCAGCAACAACAACAATCAGCATAATCCTCGCCGCGGAGCCCCAGTTCAGCCACGCACCCAGGGACAGTGAATGACTCTTCGGCCTCCTCACTCGGATTCTCATTGGGTTCCGGGACTGCTCGTGGGCGTCGTCGTCTTCATTGCGACTGTCCGATTGTCCGCTTCAAGACCTTCCGCAAACGGTAGACATCGATGAACGCAAGGTCATGAACATGCAGTGGAGACCCATGCCAAGGAACACCCTGCTTGCCTCCAGGGTGCCGTGGGTTTCTTGGGTCTCGATGGTTTTGCCATGGAAAGCGTGACATTCCCACCAAAAATCAATGGACGCCCTGGGATCTCAGGGTTGGGTTTCCTGTGGTAGGTTTCTTGTGGACCGGCCCCCAAGGTGCTCGGCGACAAGGTACACGTCGGCCCACGGGCTTTTGCGGAGGAGGAATTGGAGGAGGAAGTGGAGGAGGAGGAGGAGGAGGAGGGAGTGGGGGAGGAGGGAGTGGGGGAGGAGGAGGAGGAGGAGGAGGAGGGGAGGAGGAGGAGGAGGAGGAGGAGGAGGAGGAGGAGGAGGAGGAGAAGAGGAGGAGGAGGAGGAGGAGAGGAGGAGGAGGAGGAGGTTGGATTTCTCGTGGAGGGTTCCTTGTGGTCGAGCTCCCGCCGTACATCTTCGGAGCTCCGCGCGGCTGTCTGGCATCGGTGCTGGACCGCCCCGCCCCTTGGTGCGCGGGGCGCGCCATGGGGCATCGTCGGAGGCGCCGCCGGGGGGCTCCAGCACCGATCCGTCGGGAGGGGAAAAAGCACACAGACGCAGGGAATCTTCGATCCCCAGGAAAATATAGGAAAATATGGGCAGTGGGGGAGGGAGACAAAAGCCGAGAAAGTACAGGAAAATATGGAGAATCCTGTTCTTTGTGTCTGCTTATTCGTGTGTCCCAGGGCCCCTTCAGAGAAACCCGCGCGGACCTCAGGAATATTTATTACGTGTGTACCGAGGGAAGTTGTTTGTTTTGTCGTTCCGCCCCGTGTGTAAGTAAGTCGCCATTCTGCACCAGGGGGTGTTTGCCCCCTGGAAGGCCAGAGGAGCCCGTGCCAGACAGACGGCCGACCTTCCAGCAAGCCGCGTGCTGGGGCAACGGCGGCGGATCTTGGCCGGGTTGATTTCTCTCACGGTGGTCTTTCGAAAGACTTCACGTGTAGGGCAGTCTCTTCGAGCGCTCCATGACCATCGCAGGCACCCCCCCTTCGACAAACATATTGCATAAACAAAAACTGTCGGAGGTCCGCGCGGTGGATCTCTTGGATCGGCGCTGGGCACCTCTAGCATCTCCTCCGGCGCCGCCCCTGGCGCGCGCCGCGCGCCAGGGAGTCCAGCGCCGATCCAAGAAACCCGCGCCGAGTTCTGAACGTTTATCTATGCAGGTTCCTTTTTCTCCTATTCATCCCATCACACCCTCCCTGCAGGCGCAACCCGAAAACCCGCCTCTCCAGCTCGACCCGCACGGCGCGCTGGCGGGCTGAAGCAAATTGAGCCTCCAGCGGGGGTCGTGCCGATCAACAGCGCCTCGCCGCTTGCGTGGGTACCCCCGCTGCCATTGGCAGTCCTCCATGCCGTCGCAGCGGCTGTCAACGCCGCCACCTTCGTCGTCGTCGCCGCCACCTTCGCCGCCGCCGCCTCCGCCGTCGTCGTCTTCGTCGTCGTCGTCGTCGTCCGCCCGTCGTCGTGTCGTCTGCGTTGTATTCGTCGTCGTCGTCACAATCGTCGTCGTCGCCGTCGTCCGTCCGTCGTAGTCGTCCGTCTTCGGTCGTCCGTCGCCCATCGTCCGTCGTCCGTCGTTTGTCGTCCGTCGTCCATCGTCCGTCGTGGTCGTCGTCGTGATCGTCGTCGTCGTCGTCGCCGTCACGGTCGGTCGCCCGTCGTAGTCGTCCGTCTTCCGTTTTCCGTCGTCCGTCGCCCGTCTGTCGTCCGTCGTCGTCGTCCGTCGTCGTCGTCCGTGGTGGTCGTCGTCGCGGTCGTCGTCGCCGTCGTCCGTTTGTCGTAGTCTTCCGTCGTCCGTGTTCCGTCGTAAGTCGTTCGTCGTCCGTCCTCGTCGTCGTCGTCGTCGACCTCGTCCTCGTCCTCGTCCTCGTCCTCGTCCTCGTCCTCGTCCTGGTCGTTGTCCTCGTCCTGGTCGTCGTCGTCGTCGTCGTCGGCCGTCGTTGGCCTCGTCCTCGCCCGGCGGGTTCGTCGTCGCCGTCCTCGTTGGCGGCTTCGCCCTCGTCCTTGCCGCGGCAGCTCGTCGGCGCGAACAGGGGTGGCACGAGAGGGGGGAGGCCTTCTCAGAAGGCGGCGGAGCTTAGAAGCCCCCCCCGGGCCTTCTGAGGAGCCGTCTCTCGAATAGGAGATCGGCCACAGAACCGATGCACCTCAGTCATTGGGAGTTTCGCCGAGTCCACACAGACCGCATGAGCAGATTGTCAGTCCACGAGCCCTCTACACTGCTTGTTGTAGATTCGGCGACGGAACCAACTGTGGGGCAACTCAATTCTGTCGTCGATCTCGTACTCGAGCCTCTGTCTCCGGAGGAGGTTCGTGGAATCCACAAAGAATGCATGATCAGAATATCAATCCACGGGCATTCTGCACTTCTTGTCGTAGATTCGGCGAAGGACCCAACCGTGGGGCAAATCTGTTCTGTCGTCGATGGAGGAAGAGGAGGCGGAGGAGGAGGAGGAGGAGGAGGAGGAGGAGGAGGAGGAGGAGATGAGGAGGCGGAGGAGGAGGAGGAAGAGGAGGAGGAGGAGGAGGGAGGAGGAGGGCGAATGCGTGTAATGCCCGCCCCTGGTCCATTCGCCCTTCTCGTCGCCCCTGGGCTCAAGGGAGGGGGGTCAATGCAGACGTTGAGTCGGGCACGGCCCTCTACAGGAGCAGTATTCAATCATAGTCAAACTATAGTCTGGGGACGGTTGTTGTTTCTTCCAAAATCCGCCCGAAGGAGGACATGCTCGACCTAATGCAGACGTTAGGTTGGGCATGTAAACGGGGGTCAGTCAGCGTGCCAGGGGGGCACCTTTAGCAACCTCCCCAAGCTTTCACAGCCCTGAGTCATTCTTGCGAATACCTCCCAGGAGTTGCTTCATGACGCCTCACTGGTGGCACAGAAGTCGTCCCGAAGGAGAGGGGTCATGAGGGCACTAGTCGGGGTTCCAGAGGCCGGGTTCAGTGCAAGCGGGGGTCAGTCAGAGCGCCAGATCTTGCAGGATCCTGCAGAGCGAGGGGTGCATTGACTGGGGCTTGGGTGCAGGATCTTGCAGGATCCTGCAAAGTGTGACTATCCCAGGTCTGCATGGACCCGGGTCAGCAAGTTCCCCGAAGGAGGTCCCCCACCGATGGATGTGGAGCGGTCAATTCAGTTTTCCTTGCGGCAGCAATTTTTTTTCCTGCTCTGAGCGGTGGAGCCGCTCTCTATTCCGAGCCGCACACGCGGATTGCCAAGCCGCAGCTGTGTTGTCTCACGGCTCTTGTCGCATACGTAATGCTAAACCGGCGAAGGAGAGGGTGCAAGAGTCGGACGGAGTTAGGACGAGGATAGATTTGTTCCAGAGCGTTCCGGAAAGACCTCAGAGCGATCCGAAACGCTTTGAGCAGGCCGCGACGCCCGACACATCCAACAGGGCAGTTTGATCTCTCATATAGTCTCGATCTATCCTCGTCCGGATTTGTCCTCCTCCTGGCATCGTCTGAAAGATCGAGTAGGGGATGGACTACATAATTCATTTACCCCCGAAATGAGTCATTCGCCAATGCCAGGAACAAACACGTTCGTAGAGTGTTCGCAGAACGAGCGTTCTACGTTTTATTCATGGATTCGAAGAGAAAATCAATTCTGGGGTACACATATTCTGTAGTCGATCCCCTACTCGAGACGAGGGGCGTCGGTAGAGAGGAACTGCCGAGAGCTGGGCCCACACCGTGGTCGTCCAGCGGCTCAGCTCGCTCGGCCAGCGCCGCCTCGGGAGAAGAGCGCTGCAGCAGGGGGGGCGTTTCTTGTGCCGTCCTCCTTCCCCCCCTCCGCCTCCTCTTCCTGGTCGTCCCCCCCTCCTCCTCCTCCTCCTCCTCCTCCTCCTCCTCCTCCTCCTCCTCCTCCTCCTCCTACTCCTACTCCTACTCCTCCTCCTCCTCCTCCTCCTCCTTCTCCTCCCCCTCCTCCTCAGCAGCAGCAGCATCGTCCTCCTCATCATCATCACCATCATTATCATCATCAGCATCATCATCACCACCATCATCATCACCACCACCATCAGCATTATCATCACCATCATCAAAATCATACTCACCATTATTATCATCCTCCTCCTTCTCCTCATCATCATCATCATCACCATCGTCGTATAATCATCATCATCGGCATCATCACCATCACCATCACCATCACCATCACCATCATCATCATCAGCATCATCATCAACATCAGCATCATCATGATCATGATCATGATCATGATCTTGATCATCATCATCATCACCATCATCACCATCATCAGCATCATCACCATCATCATCATCTGCATCGTCATCGTCATTATCATCATCGTCATCATCATCATCAGCATCATCATCATCATCATCATCATTATTATTATTATTATTATTCTCGTCCTCATCCTCATCCTCATCCTCATCCTGATCCTCATCCTCATCCTCATCCCCCTCTCCCTTCACCTCCTCCTCGCCCGGGCCCCTTCTTGCCCTCCTCTCTTCCTCTTCCCCCTCCTCGCCCCCTCGTCCCTCCCCCTGCTCGGCCCTCCAGGGAGGCCCTGGCAGGCCCTCAGAGGTCTCCGGAGCTCCTCCCAGCTCCCCGGAGGGCTCCCCTGGAGCCTCGCGGAGGCCCCTGGGCGGCAGCGGGAGTCTTCCCCCCGCGCTCTGTGCAGCTCCGCGCGGAGGCCTCCGCGGGGGCTCCGCGGAGGCCGTGGCCGCCGCCTCCGCGGCCCCGTGGTGGTCCCCGGAGTCTCCTGGGCTGCAAAGGTTCGCAGGAGGAGGAAGAGGAGGAGGAGGAGGAGGAGGAGGAGGAGGAGGAGGAGGAGGAGGAGGAGGAGGCCTAGACCTTCGTGCGCTCGGGGGTCCCCTGGGCTCCTGGGCTGCAAAGTCTCTTGGGCTGCAGAGTCTCCTGGTCTCCTGGGCTGCAAAGTCTCATGAGGTTCGGAGTCTCCTGGGCTGCAAAGTCTCCTAGGCTCCTTTGGTGGTCCCTGGAGTCTCCTGGGTTCGGAGGTGGATAGACCTCCTACCCTGACGCGTCGATTAAGGAGTTGGCCGTTTTCGGTTCGCGAGGGGGCGTCGCGGCCGTCATTTTTGCGGGTCCAGGTCCGTCGGTTTCGGTCCCAGGCCGTTTTCACTAAGGGGAGGTGTACTAAAGGGAGGTTTGTTGTCCACCGCCGATGGACGAGCATCGCAGCGTCGGAGGATCATCTGGTCCAGGCCCCGTTTACGTCGGCATCCGCGAGGTCCGCGACGAGTGCAGCGTCTCGAAGAGTCGCGGCCGGAAAGCCCCAGACCCCACCTTTCCGCGGCGCTCGTCGAACGTCGGAGCGTGATTTACCTACCCCGCTTTCGCTTCCAGGAAATACCAAGCCATACCACGCGCCTCCTCGTCGAGCGACCTGTCCAGTGCAGGCCGTTGGTTGACATCGCTTGGTATCTCTTGGAAGCGAGGGTGGTCAGAAGCGAGGTAGGCTTGGTTTCCCCCTAGAGCGATCGATCCGTGGTGGCCCCAGGGCCCGCAGCCGAGCGAGGACGCCTGGTGCGAGCCAAGTGCAGCGCCTGGATCGCAGGGGTCGATCGTCGGAGATTGGGGTCTCACCAGCCTCGAACCTATCCCTATCCCTAAGATTGACACGCTAAAAGGAGGTGACAATCCGAGGGATACACCCTCAGAAAATATGGGAATCCCTAAGATTGACATCGTGACGAGGAGGTGCCCAGCATAGGGATAGGAATATGTTCCAGGCTGGTAAATTGGGGTCTGCGTCGTGCCATTCTTCGCCCAGAGGGTCGCCCTTGTCTGCATTGGGTCCTGTTGGGGGGGGAGGTCCCTTCTGCCACGCTCTCCCCCGCGGCCCTCGCGAGGGCCGGGCTTCCTCCCGAGCTGTTTTTTGGTGGTTCCGAGGCCCGGTAAGGGCCACTGGAAGCCAAATCTGGAATAACGCTTTCGGTATTTTTTCCGCGACGCGCAGGTGTCTGAGTTTGTTTGCCCCGCGGCCTTCGCGAGGACGGGCGTTTTCTTCCTGAATTGTTGTTTGGGTTCCGAGGCCCGGTAAGGGCCACTGGAAGCCAAATATGGGACAATGTTTTTTGGTGTTTTATTTTTTCGACGCGAAGGTGTCTGGGTTTGTGTGGGTCTGCTTCTGGCCCATCTTGGCCCAGGGGTGCCCTCGTGTGCAGCCCGGTCCTGCGGGGGCTGGAGGGCTGGAAATGGCCACCCATGCCAGCAGCTCGCAGAGGGGTGTGCCTCCACCAGGGAAGGATGATCCCACATTCTTGTAGTTAGTGGTCAGATCTCGGCCGCCAAAGAAGCCCGGACATTGCCGCCACAGGAGGAGGAGGAGGAGGAGGAGGAGGAGGAGGAGGAGGAGGAGGAGGAGGAGGAGGAGGAGGTGGAGAGGAGGAGGAGGAGGAGGTGGAGGAGGGGAGGAGGAGGAGGAGGAGGAGGAGGAGGAGGAGGTGGAGGAGGAGATCTGGAGGCAGCCGCCAGTATTGGAGCTTTGGTGCCAACTTCTGAGCCTCCCGGGTCAGGGGAGGTCCTCGTCTGCCCGCGCTCCCCCCCGCTGCGCACCCCTCTGGTAAGTCGGGCACGTCCCTCTACAGGAGGAGTAGTCAAACATAGTTCAAAAATAGTCTGGGGACGAATTCTGGATTATTCTGGACTATTTCTGCCTATTTGTCTGACTACTTGCCATGACAAAAAGAGAACAGTAACAGCAACATCCGCCTGTAGAAGGACATGTCCGACCTACCTCTGGTCCTGCCTGGCCGCGCCCGCGCATTGCCTGCCACTTGGGCGGCAGCGGCAGCACGCCAGCTCTGGCCCGGCGGAGGGCAACTGCGCAGATCCACCTCGCCTCTCTCCCAGAGGTTCCTCCTCCTCCTCCTCCTCCTCCTCCTCCTCCTCCTCCTTCTCCTCCCCCCTCCCCCCTCCCTCCTCCTCCTCCTCCTCCTCCTTCTCCTCCTCCTCCTCCTTCTCCTCCTCCTCGCCGCGTCGCGGGCCCGAGGTTTTCTCGGCCTCCTAGATGGGGTCGGAGTAGATGGGGTGGACGGATCGCGCCGCATCGCCGATGCATCGGCGATGCGGCTCGATGTGGAGCGCGAGTTGCTTCACGTCGACGTTGCCGATGCATCGCCGACGTCGACGAGGCATCGCCGGTGCATCGCCGATGCATCGCCGATGCATCGTCGATGTATCGGCGATGCGGCGCGATCCTCCGGCCCCATCTTCTCCAACCCCATCTGGGAGGCCTCTAGATCTGAGGTTTGCGGGCGTTCGCGACGGACCTCGTCGGTTATAGCCCCCTATGGGGGGAAGCGGATCTAAAGCTGAATACCCCCGGACGGGCAACGTGCGCTGGACCTCGTCGGTTCTCTGGCCTCGGGATGCCTTCCAGCGGCTGCGCCTCGCCGAGACCGTTCGGGGGGTGCCCGGATTGTGTCCCGATTGTGTTCGGAGTTCGGACCCGAACGCGCTGAGAAGTTGGCGTTCCAATTTTGTCGAGCCAGCCGTGTTCGCCTGGTTTCGGGCCCTTCGACCCTCACACATCGATGCGGCTCGAAATTTTTCAGCGGACAGACAGGATCCAGGGCTCTGATCGCGTGACTTTGCACGCTGTTGCAATTTTTCCGCGTCGTCGGACCTCAGCTGCTGACCTTCCCCCCTCGTCTTCGCCTCTTTGTCGGACGGGACCTTGACGAGGATAAATCCGTTCCTGAGCGTTCCAGAACGCTCTCAGAGCGTTCCGGAACTTTCTGAGAAGGCCGCGGCGCCCGAGATATTCTCCAGATCCGCTGGATCTCAGAGATCCTCGATTTATTCCTCCTTCTTGGCTCGTCTTATTTTGAGCCTCTGCGAGGCACTTGTTGCCACCGCTGGATTCGCCTGCAAATCCTGGCCAGGTGGTCGCTTTTGTTGAACTCTCACTTCTGAAGAATTGTTATTGCTGATCCCCCCTCACCGGTGCATACGGTTTTTTCTCAATCAAAGAGTGCCCCTCGACGCTCGCACCCTGTTTTTTGACAGGGAAGGTCTTGGTGCTCAAATTCGGTTGCTGGCTCCCCAGATTATAACAACAACGGCTTTCGCTTGAGACTTCCTTTTAAATTTTCTCAGGACCCCCGTTCCTGAGACTTCCTCACAATCTACTCAGGATCGGTGCTCCCGCTTGTGACTTCCTCGCAATGTAGTAAGGACCCCCGCTCCCATCTGAGACTTCCCCACAATTTACTCAGGAACGGCGCTCCCGCTTGAGACTTCCTCGCAATTGAAACAAGACTTACTCGCAATTTAATCATGACCCCCGCTCCCGCCAGAGAACCCTTCACATTTTATTCAGGAATTGCGCTCTCGCCTGTGACTTCCGCGCAATTTATTCAGAAATCGCGCTTTCGACGCTCTGGAAACACGCTGCGCCAAGGACGCCGTGACAATTTACTTAGTAATCGCGCTCTCGCCATACGCAGGCATCCCGCTTGAATGTCCCACCCGCCCGACCCGTCCGTCAGGGGATCGCCCGCCCGTCGTGGGCTCCCGTCCGAGACTTCCTTCAGGAACGGCGCTTTCGCCTAGGACTTCCTCTAACGTTTACGCTCTTACCTTCCTGCTCCTCCTCCCTCTCCCTCCTCCCTCCTCCCTCCTCTCCTCCCTTCTCTCTCCCTCCTCTCTTCCCTCATCCTTATGCCTCTCTGCCCTATCACCTCTCCCTCCTCTCCCTCCTCCCTTCTCCCTCCCCTCTCCTGCCTCCTCCTTTTTTTTTTTTTCTCTCTCTCTCTCTCTCCCCTCTCTCTCTCTCTTTCTCTACCTCTCTTATTCTGTCTTTCTCTCTCTCTCTCTGCCTCTAATCAACGGCCCCCCTCTTCGCTCCTTCTCGCCTGGCGTTTTCCCTCTTCCTTCGTGCCTCCTCCTCCTCCCTTCCTCCCACTCTCCCTCGTTCTCCCCCTCCACTTTTTGCAGGGCCCACACCAATCCCAATGGCGGGCACATGTACGCCCACGAAGGATTGTCCGCCCGTTCAGGTTTGCCCGCCTGTTTAAACCCGCCGTCCCCCCCAAAGAGAAATAATCACCCCAAAGGGGGGGTGATCGAAGACAAGAAGGGCGGGTATCGAGGGTGTGGGGAACTCGTTCTGAATGACACGTGGGCAAGTAAGAGCGAACATTTTTATACTGTTTGTTGCTGTTGTTATTGTTGTTATTGTTGTTCTTGTAGTCGTCGTCGTCGTTGTTGTTATGGTTGTTGTTGTGGTTCTTGTTGCTGCTGTTGTTGTTGTTGATGCTGCTGCTGTTGTTGTGGTGGTGGTGATGGTTGTGGTTGTTGTTGTTGTTGTTGTTGTTGTTGTTGTTGTTGTTTTTACTGCTGTTGTTGTTGTTGCTGGCTGTTGTTGTTGTTGTTGTTGTTGGTTGCTGCTGCTGCTGCTGTTGTTGTTGTTGCTGTTGTTGTTGTTGTTATTGTTGTTGCTGCTGTTGTTGTTGTTGTTGTTTTTGTTGTTGTTTTGCTGTTGCTAAGGTTGTAGTTGTTGCTGTTGTTATTGCTGCTGTTGTTGTTGTGGTTGTCGGTGTGGTTGTGGTTTGGGTTTTGGTTTTGGTTGTTGTTGTCGGTGTTGTTGGTGTTGGGTGTTGTTGCTGTTGCTGCTATGGTTGTTGTTGTTGTTGTTGTTGTTGTTGTTGGTGTTGTTGTTGTTGTTGTTGTTGTTGTTGTTGTTGTTGTTGTTGTTGTTGTTGTTGATGTTGGGTGTTGGTGTTGTTGCTGTTGATGATGTTGTTGCTTTTGTTTTTGTTGTTGTGGTTGTTGTTGTTGGTTGTTGTTGCTGCTGCTGCAGCTGATGCTGTTGTTGTTGTTGTTGTTGCTGTTGCTGATGCTGTTGATGTTGCTGTTGCGCTGCTGCTGCTGTTATTGTTGCTGCTGCTGTTGGTGTTGCCCATCGAGACTTCGGCCTCTGGTTCCCCCGGACTGGATACCCAGGGCTCGAGTATCTTAGGGGATCGACTACAAATTTTGAGTTGCCCAAAACTTGATTCTCTCGTCGACAGCGCAACCAGATTCGCACAAGCTTCGCAGATTCGACGAGCGAGTCAATTTCGGGGCGAACCAATGCTGTAGTCGCTCCCCCCTGCTCGAGGGGCGACGGGAAGGGCCCCCGACGGGGCCGGGACCTCCCCGGGGCCGCGCATCGAAGAAGTCACTCCTCCTCCTCCCCCCTCCTCCTCCTCCTCCTCCTCCTGCTGCTCCTCCTCCTCCTCCTCCTCCTCCTCCTCTTCTTTTTCCTATCTTCCCCCTCCTCCTCCTCCTCTCCTCCTCCTCCTCCTCCTCCTCCTGCTCCTCCTCCCCCTCCCCCTCCTCCCTCCTCCTCCTCCTCCTCCTCCTCCTCCTCCTCCTCCTCCTCCTCCTCCTCCTCCTCCTCCTCCCCCTCCTCCTCCTCCTCTTCCTCTTCCTCCTCCGTATCCTCCTCCTTCTCCCTCCTCCTCCTCCTCCTCCTCCTCTCTTCCTCCCCTCCTCCTCCTCGGGGGTCAATGCAAACAGGGGTCAGCCCAGAGCGCCAGATCCTGCAGGATCCTGCGAAGACCCCCTCTGGCTGACCCGGGCTTGCGAGCCGCGCGTGGCCGCGAGGCGGCCGCGCATGTTGGCTGGCCCGGGTTTGCGCGAACACCTGCGCTGCAGTCTTTTTTCGTTGTTGTTGTTTTCCTTGCGTTGCAGTATTTTGGTTTCCTGCTGACCGGGGTCCCCGAAACCCCCGAACCCCCCGAAACCCCCGACACCCCCGAACCCCCCGAAAGGAGGGGAGGTGAAGGATCAGCATAAAGGGGGAAGGAGTGGGAGGGAAGAGGATCGAAGGGGAGAGGAGGTGGGGAGGAGGGAGGGCGGAGGTAGGGAGCATGGATTGACCCGGGCCAGAAGATCCCCGAAGAGATCCGACGTTCCAGACAAGTTGCCGTTTTCGGCCTCCCAGGGGCCCTCCCCGGGCCGCGCTGGGGAGCGTCAAAACGAGGGCATTTCGGGACGCAGATCTGGTCCCGGGGCTGGACCTAAACGGTGTTTTGGCGATTTCGTGGGCCTCTTTTTTCGTTTCGGCTTCGTTTTGCGGTAAGGGTGACTCTCGAAGACAAAAGCGAGGGGAAACGAAGACAAAACGAAACCGAAAACCACCGTTTAGGTTCAGTCCTGGCAGCGGCCCAGACGTCCAAGGGCGCACGCGCCGAGCAAATTGTAGCGGCCGGATGTCTGGGTCGCTTCTCCTGAGATCGCGAGGGCCTCACGGCGGGTGCCGCCGACCCAGCAGGGCGACGACGGCGACGACGACAACGGCGGCGGCGACGACGCTGACTGACGTGGGCCAGAGGGGTGCCTCCTGGGGTCTCTTCGGAAGGCTCTCGGGGGCCTCTTGGGGAGAACTTCTGGGCCCTCTTGGGCGCTCCTGGGGGCCTATTGGGAGCCTCCTGGAGCCTCGTCGGGCATCCTTGGTACCTCTTGTGGGCCTCTCGGGGCCTCCTTTGGTGCCTCTTGGGGCCTCCTGGGAGCCTCTCGGGGCCGAGGGCTGGAAATGTCCGTTCGGATCCCCCGTCTGGGCACGCGCTTGGAGCCGTCTCGGGGGCCCCTTCGGCCGACCTGTAGGCGTTGTCGGGCTGTCTTGGGGTCCTTTTGGGCTATGTGGGGGCCCTCTTGGGCCGTCTTGGGGGGTTCTTGGAGGCCTCTTGGGCCGTCTTTGAGCGACGGGGAGCGGAAACGGCGAGAACGCCCAAACCTTGGACAAAAACTCAAGGGGAATGAATGGCTTTTGCCTCGTGGGGCCCTTCTCGGGAGTGCTCTTGGATGCTTCTTGGGACGTCTTGTGAAGGCGTTTTGGACTGATAGTCTGGCGATTGGGGGCGCTCTTGGACCGTCTTGGGGGCCTCGTGGGGCACTCTCGGCCTGTCTTGGTACAGGGAACCCTATACGAAGAAACACCCTGCTTGCCTCCAGGGTGCCCTAGGTTTCTTGGGTCTCGTCTGTTTTGCTATGGAAAGCGTGACGTTCCCACACCAAAACTCAAAGGACGGACGTCCTTGGGTCTCAGGGTTGGGTTTCTTGTGGAAGGTTTCTTGTGGTCGAGCTCCTACTGTACTTTCGGGGGCCCCTGGACCCCCAGGGGACCCCCCAGGGGACCCCCCCAGCCGGGAGCCCTCCCCCCTACCCCCCAGGATCCCCCCCCCCGACGTGGGAGGGATCAAAGGAAAAGGGCTTCCCTTCGACCTCTTTACGACATTGCTAGATTCTTCTCTCGCTGAAAGGCTTGAGGAGGAGGGTGCAGGGAAAGGGGACTACGGAGACGACGGCTGACGGAGACGACGACTCGAACAGACGAGTCCCCCCCCCCACACACGCCGACAGGGTCGGGGGATCTTTCGCATCCAATCTTCGCAGGCGGTTTTTCTCACTGAATCCCGTCTTCTCGCCGCAAAATGAAACCGCTCAGAAAAGGAGGGGAACCCTGGGATAGACCCCCAGGTGCAGACGCACCCCTTTCGAGGATGGGCGCCCCCCCATCGCAGCAACAAAAAAAAAACAAATCCTAGGGTTGGGCCCCAAATTTCTGGTCCATTCGAAAAGCCCACGAAGCCTGGGATAGGGGTCGATATATCGCTTGTTCAATCTTCGAGTTCCCTTCCACACGCACCCGGTCGCCCAGAAAAGGGGATACGCCCTCGGGGGGCTAAATTCGGACGCTTCCCCCTGTCGAGGAGAGGATGGCCCGCTCCCCTCCCCTCCCGGCACCCCGAGCTGTGCTCTGGAGGCCTGGTCCGGTCGAAAGCCACGCACAGCTTGGGATTCGTGCCGCCATCCCCCCCCCCCCCCAAAGACTCCTCCTATCCCCTTCCCAGAGGCCGAGTCGGATATCGACTGCAACACTGATTTACCTCAGAGTTGTTTTTCTTTCGTCGCATGTGTAAGCAAATGCACATACTGCTCGTAGATCTACCAGCATTATGTGCATTTTCCGTAGATTCGGCGAAGGGGAAAATCAATTCTGTAGTCGGCGCCAACTCGAAGAGAGGAGGGACACGCTCGTAGGAGGAGGGGTGACTGTCGACCTCTACCTTCCTCACCTTCCCGACTCTAGATGCCGCGCAGCGGGCGCTGTCAGCGCGGCCGCAGATGCGGCCGCCGTCGAGGCCGCAGCGGCAGTCTCGGCGGTCGCCGCGACCGCGCCGTGGCGACACCTGCTGCACGGCAGGCTCGGAAGGTGGAGGTCGAGGGGAGGAGCAAAATATTGACAGGAGGAGGGGGGAGAGAGAGGAGGTGGATCTGTTGTATTTGTTCGACTGCTGCCTGGCGCTCCGACGGCAACGGATCCGCGTCTGGCGCCACTGCAATGCCTGGTGCCGACGACGCGCGACGCGGCAGTTTTGCAATGTTGCAATGGGCCTGCCCGCGAGAAAGAGAAGCGGGAGGGGGGGGGAGCAGGAACGGCAGCGGGCAGGAGAGCTAGAGGGGCGATCGGGACGGAGGGGGGGCGATGGGGGGAAATTGGGGGGAGGAGGGAAGGGTGGAGGGAGGCGGGTTACGATGATGGTGATAATAAAGGTGGTGACGATGGTGGTGGTGCTGATGACAATGGTGATGCTGAGGACGACGATTGTGGCGACGATGGTGTTGACGATGGTGTTGACGATGATGTTGATGGTGATGGGGATGGTCATGTGATGGTGATGGTGGCGGTGATGATGATGATGCTGATGATGATGATCCTGATAATGACTGATACCGGTGATGGTGATGCTGGTGATGCTGATGCTGATGATGATACGGTTGCTGCTTGTGATGAGGATGCTGTCGAGGCTGTTGATGATGAAGATAGAGATCAGGATGATGATGCGAATTTGTTTATGGTGATGATTGTGATGATGATGCTGACGAGGATGATGCTGCACATTCCGATGATGGTGATGATGAGGATGCTGATGCCACTGCCGATGGCGACGACGATGCTGATGATGACGATGATGTTGTTGATGATATGACGACGATGGATACGGCCGATGCTGGTGTTGCTGATGTTAATGTTGCTGTTGATGATGATGATGATGATGAGGATCATGATCATGATCATGATGATGATGATTATTATGATGATGATGATGATGCTGATGACGATGATGATGATGATGATGATTATGATGGCGATACTGATGGCGATGATGTTGGTGATGCTGCTGCTGATGATGTTGATGACGATGATGCTGATCATGATGACGATGCTGATGCTGACGCAGAAGCTTCTGCTGGTGACGATACTGATGAATCGGGTGATTGTGATTATGATGGTGATGTTGTAGATGGTGAAGACGACGATGATTATGAGGATGACGGATGACGGGTGATGGGTAATGGATGGCGGATGGTGATGACGAACATGGCATTGAAGTCCCATGTCTGCAGATTAATTTAGATGGTTAAGTTGCGAAATCATATTGTCCTCTACACGCCAGCAACACGAAAATGTTTATAATGGGTACTGGAGGTCACGCAAACGCAAAGTACCGAACCAGGCAGTGGCAAATGGTACGTCGACTGAGACTTTGTCGAACTACAAGTCAACAAAGTATTTGGGCGGAAGTTTCAATTCAGCGACCTCCATGCAACAGAACTAGAGAATGCCTGCTTGTTGGCGGAAGCCCTTTACATAGCCAGAAAAAGTTTTGGGGGAACCCGATTCGTCCAACAGCAGGATACGGCTATTCCACGGAACAGTTTTGCCCACGCTACTATAAATGGTTGTGAAGCCTGGACGCTGACAGCGACCATGGGAATAGGCTTTGCACCATACAGATGCAAATGCTGCGCATGATCTTGCAGATGCCGCCACGGCGCAACGCAGCAGGTGGCCATCTCGACGGATTGCCGGATTCTACCGGAGATTCGGCGGCATCAACCGGCGACGGGCAAGTCCCAGACCACCCGGTACATGAGTGCGACGACGATGTTGCAAGAGCCGGCATATGGGGAACTGTTGAGGGCAAACATGTCAGCAGATTGTTTTGCATTCAGTTTTCATCGTGCCGTTCGATTGGAGAGGCCTGACGGCCGGTGCCGCCGACCCTGATCGAAAGGGCTAGGAGTGGGGGGAGGAAGCGGAGGATGAGGAGGAGGAGGAGGAGGAGAAGGAGGAGGAGCAGGAGGAGGAGGAGGAGGAGGAGGAGGAGGAGGAGGGAGGAGGAGGAGGAGGAGGAGGAGGAGGAGGAGGAGGAAGTGCATCCTTTGTGTGCCCGCTCGAAGAAAGTGCGCCCCGGGAGTGTGATATTCTGACTTGGGACGTGCTCCCGGAAGAGGAAGAAGTGCATCTCGGGCGTGCCCGCTCGAGGAAAATGCGCCCTAGGGGGGTGGTATTTTGACTCGGGGCCCGCTCGGGGACGGGGACCCCTCCCCCCCCCCCTCCCCCCCCCCCCTCCCCCCCCCTCCCCCCCCCCCTGCGGGGAAGGGATCAAAGGGAAGGGGCTTCCCTTCGACTCCACTACGACGTCGTTTAATTTCGCTTTGGATAGCGCGCTTGAGACGACGGAGACGACGAGTCGAACGGAGAAACCCCTCACACACGCCGACAGGGTCGGCGGATTTCTCTCGCTCGCGTTTCCTTCGTCGTGTCTCTTATCGTTCGTCCCTCCCTCCCTCTCTCCCTCGGCCTCGCCTTTCGTCCTCGCTTGTCGTGCGTCCTTCTCTCCCTTAGTGCGCCCGTTCCCCTCCCCCAAAGCATCGCAGTGGGATGCCGCCGCTGACCGGCGCAGAGGGCCCCCCCGCCAGCGTGGATTCTGCAGGTCCGAGTCCAAGTCCGAGTCCACCAGGGCCAGTCTGTCCCTTCGAACACGATGTGGTGTTTTGGTTGCAGTTGCAGGTCGGCTGTGACTCGCGTCCGCGGATGAAGAAACAAGATGCGCAATGGGAAGGGAGGGGGGGGGAGGGACAGGATGTCAGATGAGGCGCAAGCGCTCCTAGCTTGTCTGGACCTCTCGGGGCGGTCGTCGGCGATCTTGGTGTCACTTTGGGGAGGCCGTATCTGAGCGAAACGGCGAGAATACGGCAATCAGTGATGCCGTTGCAATTCTTGAGTGAGCGTTGCATGGCGAGGGTCTGCCTGGAACGCTTCGCGGCCACTTGGCCCCATGCTGGGTTGGTCTTTGGCCTCTTGATGGCATGTCGGACGACATGTTCAGCGTCTTGTCCAACACTGTGCCATTTTGCAGCCGTCCTGGTCAGTATGAGGTCATGTTGGAGCCGTCTGAGCCCAAACGCTTTCCAACACCGCCCCCGAGATGCCATAATCTTTCAAACGTATATACCATTTAGACTCAAGCCGTTTTGGCCCAAGAGACGTTTCTAATTCCACAGGCTAAACGCCCGGTGCTCATTGCCCGGTTCTCTCGTCAAGTTACGTATACACATTTCCCCAGGTGGGCATAGTTATGTTTCATATATATATATATACTGAGCTATGCCGATCTATTATTTTTGATGTGGGCTTGGCTATACCAGTGGTTTTCCATCTTGCGCGAAATATATTTGCAGCTCCAGGCCCACGCCGAGGGTCCCGCAGCGGTGGCATCGACATCGAGCTTCTGGTTCATTACGGTTTTCGTTGGCCTCTTGGGCATCTTAGTTTCGAACGTGTTGGGCGTCTTGTATTTTTGCCGTGACAACCGTCTCGTCCTCTGCGCGCTGGCTGCATGCGATTTGGACACTCCAGCCTTGGTCGCTACACAGGCGCAAGACTACGTCAAGGGGGGAGCACCCGACGTTCGAGAACTCCGTCGCCGCAATGCGTTATGGAGAGGTTTGCCGTGTGCAGCAGTATCAGTTTTTGTCGCTCTCCGAGGCGTCGCGCAGACATCGATATGCGAAATTATCGTTCAGATTCAAATGCAGAATGATCTTGACCTACACCGCAGAGTCATGCAAGAACATCCCGAGTTTCACTCTGTGCAGCTGTACCCCAAGTGGGAAGAAGCAGGAACGAGTGAGCGCATTTCGTTCCAGAAGAAAGTCATCGCGTTGGTGGGAAAGACATTCGGAGATGACAGATGCCCCGTTGCCCACAGGCACATCCGAGAAGTGACCACATTCAAGGAGTTCTTGGCCACGACTTCCTGGGCTGCTACAAGTATGCAAGACGTGCGACAATTTCAGGATCTGAATGCGGTGCAGGTCAGCATTCGGCAACTTACCGCATAACTACTTGCGCAATCAGTGCGCGATCGTATGCCGGCTCTCGAGCCAATGCGGCTAACGTCCACGTATTTCGACAATTTGATTCGCGACGGCGAGAGCAAGGAAATGGAGAAACAATGGAACGGAGCGGGAGGTGACCGGGCTCTTATCGCTACGTACGATAACCCGCCTTCTGCATGGCTTTTTGCACAGGCCGCGGTGCAATTGCTTGTCGCTGTTGGTGGACTTGGCAACCACATTCGAAAGCAAAGGCGGATATCGGTCATGGCTACCGCTGCGGTCTGCTTCCACATTTTTCTCGACGCGCTTCTGACAATCGGATGTTTGATTATCCTCTTCTCGGTGATGCCTGCGCAGGATCGCGTGACGACGGTCTACATGGACGCTCTTGCGCTAATTGATTCGGTTCTCTCTGGACCAGCAGGGACCAAGATGTTCGATCTGGCTGACATCGTAATTTTCGAGAATTGGTCAGAGAAAGTGCAGAAGGCAGAGACGTTTTTCTTAAATGAAATATTTCCGCTCATATCGCGCCAAGCGTTGCAAGCTTTGGCCAATTGGCTCGATTTTGCTGGAGAGTTGCACTCGCCCGATCTCGTCCTCGAGCAGATTCTCTTTGTGAAGGTGATCATCGGTGTTGTCATCTTCTACGGTGCTATACGGTGCATCATGAACGTTGGGATACATATGTTTGTCACAAGTCCATTGTGCTCCTGGACGAAGAGCGCCCAGAGCCCGTGTCCCTCGTGTTCCTTATTGCCGTCAAGACAGTCGCACTATTGATTCCATACGTCATTGCAGCGAGCAGTTGGATTGAGTTTCAATTTGTGATTGCGACGATGTTTGGCTTCATTGTAAGGTACAGCTTTACGTACTACGCTATGCTCGGCGTAATTGTCGCCATCTTCGCCATGTCTGCAATCGCTGCCGTCGCCCTTTTGGGACACGGCGATGGCATGGCAGGCGACGGCAGACAAGACGACGGTAGGGCAGGCGACAGCCACGGCGAGGAGTTACAGACCTTCTCTTTGCGGCAGCGATGTTGCACTGGCGACCGGAAGAAACACAAACCACCATTCGACGCCACGGCCAGACGTATTGCGGAGATGGAACACGGCGCAGGCCAGGGGTTGTTAGGCCAGCCATTGCCGAATTACGGTGGTTGTGGGGCTAGAGCTTGCTACTAGACTCACGACGTGCGTCGGACGACGCGGCCGCGTCTGCCAGACAGTGTTTGGTAAGCCGAGGGCCGCATGTTGGACGACGTGGGAGCTCGAAGTTGTTCAGTTCCCTGCAGTGTTTAGCAGGCCCCCTGCTTCACATAACTGCTCCCATCTCACCCTCTGCCGGCGCACCCGCGAGCATGGCCAGAAGTCCTTCGTATGCCTGTGCCTGACCAGTGTCGCGAGGACGTCGACGCGACGGCTTGGCTGGCGCAGCGAGAAAAGAAACATCAGTCAACACACAAAAGGTGTTTCATTAGTTTGGAATGTGAGCCAGGTGTGGTGGGCTGATAGCTTTCCCTTCTCGAGCCCGAGCAAACTCTTCGTCGGGCTCTCTCTGGCACTCTTGAGGCCTTCTCGGGGTCCTCATGGGCCCCTCCGGGGGCTCGCTTGGCCATCCGGCGTGCGTCCTTTTCTCCCCTAGTGCGCCCGTTCCCCTCCCCCAAAGCATCGCAGTGGGATGCCGCCGCTGACCGGCGCAGAGGGCCCCCCCGCCAGCGTGGATTCTGCAGGTCCGAGTCCAAGTCCGAGTCCACCAGGGCCAGTCTGTCCCTTCGAACACGATGTGGTGTTTTGGTTGCAGTTGCAGGTCGGCTGTGACTCGCGTCCGCGGATGAAGAAACAAGATGCGCAATGGGAAGGGAGGGGGGGGGAGGGACAGGATGTCAGATGAGGCGCAAGCGCTCCTAGCTTGTCTGGACCTCTCGGGGCGGTCGTCGGCGATCTTGGTGTCACTTTGGGGAGGCCGTATCTGAGCGAAACGGGGAGAATACGGCAATCAGTGATGCCGTTGCAATTCTTGAATGAGCGTTGCATGGCGAGGGTCTGCCTGGAACGCTTCGCGGCCACTTGGCCCCATGCTGGGTTGGTCTTTGGCCTCTTGATGGCATGTCGGACGACATGTTCAGCGTCTTGTCCTACACTGTGCCATTTTGCAGCCGTCCTGGTCAGTATGAGGTCATGTTGGAGCCGTCTGAGCCCAAACGCTTTCCAACACCGCCCCCGAGATGCCATAATCTTTCAAACATATATACCATTTAGACTCAAGCCGTTTTGGCCCAAGAGACGTTTCTAATTCCACAGGCTAAACGCCCGGTGCTCATTGCCCGGTTCTCTCGTCAAGTTACGTATACATATTTCCCCAGGTGGGCATAGTTATGTTTCATATATATATATATATACTGAGCTATGCCGATCTATTATGTTTGATGTGGGCTTGGCTATACCAGTGGTTTTCCATCTTGCGCGAAATATATTTGCAGCTCCAGGCCCACGCCGAGGGTCTTGCAGCGGTGGCATCGACATCGAGCTTCTGGTTCATTACGGTTTTCGTTGGCCTCTTGGGCATCTTAGTTTCGAACGTGTTGGGCGTCTTGTATTTTTACCGTGACAACCGTCTCGTCCTCTGTGCGCTGGCTGCTTGCGATTTGGACACTCCAGCCTTGGTCGCTACACAGGCGCAAGACTACGTCAAGGGGGGAGCACCCGACGTTCGAGAACTCCGTCGCCGCATTGCGTTACGGAGAGGTTTGCCGTGTGCAGCAGTATCAGTTTTTGTCGCTCTCCGAGGCGTCGCGCAGACATCGATATGCGAAATTATCGTTCAGATTCAAATGCAGAATGATCTTGACCTACACCGCAAAGTCATGCAAGAACATCCCGAGTTTCACTCTGTGCAGCTGTGCCCCAAGTGGGAAGAAGCAGGAACGAGTGAGCGCATTTCGTTCCAGAAGAAAGTCATCGCGTTGGTGGGAAAGACATTCGGAGATGACAGATGCCCCGTTGCCCACAGGCACATCCGAGAAGTGACCACATTCAAGGAGTTCTTGGCCACGACTTCCTGGGCTGCTACAAGTATGCAAGACGTGCGACAATTTCAGGATCTGTCTGCGGTGCAGGTCAGCATTCGGCAACTTACCGCATAACTACTTGCGCAATCAGTGCGCGATCGTATGCCGGCTCTCGAGCCAATGCGGCTAACGTCCACGTATTTCGACAATTTGATTCGCGACGGCGAGAGCAATGAAATGGAGAAACAATGGAACGGAGCGGGAGGTGACCGGGCTCTTATCGTTACGTACGATAACCCGCATTCTGCATGGCTTTTTGCACAGGCCGCGGTGCAATTGCTTGTCGCTGTTGGTGGACTTGGCAACCACATTCGAAAGCAAAGGCGGATATCGGTCATGGCTACCGCTGCGGTCTGCTTCCACATTTTTCTCGACGCGCTTCTGACAATCGGATGTTTGATTATCCTCTTCTCGGTGATGCCTGCGCAGGATCGCGTGACGACGGTCTACATGGACGCTCTTGCGCTAATTGATTCGATTCTCTCTGGACCAGCAGGGACCAAGATGTTCGATCTGGCTGACATCGTAATTTTCGAGAATTGGTCAGAGAAAGTGCAGAAGGCAGAGACGTTTTTCTTAAATGAAACATTTCCGCTCATATCGCGCCAAGCGTTGCAAGCTTTGGCCAATTGGCTCGATTTTGTTGGAGAGTTGCACTCGCCCGATCTCGTCCTCGAGCAGATTATCTTTGTGAAGGTGATCATCGGTGTTGTCATCTTCTACGGTGCTATACGGTGCATCATGAACGTTGGGATACATATGTTTGTCACAAGTCCCATTGTGCTCCTGGACGAAGAGCGCCCAGAGCCCGTGTCCCTCGTGTTCCTTATTGCCGTCAAGACAGTCGCACTATTGATTCCATATGTCATTGCAGCGAGCAGTTGGATTGAGTTTCAATTTGTGATTGCGACGATGTTTGGCTTCATTGTAAGGTACAGCTTTACGTACTACGCTATGCTCGGCATAATTGTCGCCATCTTCGCCATGTCTGCAATCGCTGCCGTCGCCCTTTTGGGACACGGCGATGGTATGGCAGGCGACGGCAGACAAGACGACGGTATGGCAGGCGACAGCCACGGCGAGGAGTTACAGACCTTCTCTTTGCGGCAGCGATGTGGCACTGGCGACCGGAAGAAACACAAACCACCATTCGACGCCACGGCCAGACGTATTGCGGAGATGGAACACGGCGCAGGCCAGGGGTTGTTAGGCCAGCCATTGCCGAATTACGGTGGTTGTGGGGCTAGAGCTTGCTACTAGACTCACGACGTGCGTCGGACGACGCGGCCGCGTCTGCCAGACAGTGTTTGGTAAGCCGAGGGCCGCATGTTGGACGACGTGGGAGCTCGAAGTTGTTCAGTTCCCTGCAGTGTTTAGCAGGCCCCCTGCTTCACATAACTGCTCCCGTCTCACCCTCTGCGCGCGCACCCACGAGCATGGCCAGAAGTCCTTCGTATGCCTGTGCCTGACCAGTGTCGCGAGGACGTCGACGCGACGGCTTGGCTGGCGCAGCGAGAAAAGAAACATCAGTCAAC